ATGTTTGTTCATTGTGCGAATGTTCCGGAATTTAATACTGAATGTGGTCAAGGCTGAACACCTCCTAGTGTTTTTCCTACGACCATCACTTTAATTATTAGACAGCTGATGCTCTATCCTTGTGATCTATTGGGTAGTGGTTTGAAGTTTCACCCATTTAATTTCTCTATCACCCTAATCAAAGTTGGACTAATCCACGGATTAATCTCTGTTGAACACTTAGGGAAAGCTCTAAAATAGAAACCTCACGTTCATTCAATCAACATAGAAGAACCTCAAAACAACGGGCAAAGATTCAATGCCCGGTTTGTTTTCATCGTACGCACATCACTCCTGTGGAGGAAAAAGTTATCGTCACCGTTACAAAAGGCATAGGTTCATAGAAACTGGTGGAGGGTTTGATGTGATTGTTGCGAATGCACCCTTATTAATAATTAATGCCCTAAACCGATGAGTCTTTTCCTTTCGGGAATATGTAATCATCCTCAACGATACCGAAACAGATAAAGGGAGGTACCATTTGAAATCACAGTGGAATGAGGGATGTGGAAGTGCGCAAAGTGGGTAGAAAAGCCCTACGTGAGCAACCATTCTAGAACCTTTGAAAGTTCTACCGTTGTTGTGGAGATCGCAAATGATGTCCAGTCCTCTTCTTCAGTATACTTCGACTATTACTAGCATCTAACAATAAAGAAATTATGGCTGCAGATAATCCAAAAAGGATCGCATTCACATCTCAGTTACGGTGGCCGTGTAGTTTTGTTTTTTTTTTTGCTATGAGGCTGTTCAGAACTGAATTTCTTCCGAGGTAAGCATAGAATTACGAAGAGTCCTTCAGGCTGTGCGAGGCAATTTTCAAGATCTGTAAGCTCTGATTTGGAAATGCTCGAATTCGAGGCATTATTACGAGTTTTGAGGCTATTTGGCCCTTCATAGTTTGAGAAGGTAACCATGGAATCGATAAACGATCCAGACTACAGTTAATGCTCTGCAAGAATTATGTGACCGTCAAGATCCGAGCTAAGTGCTTCCCCTGTTGTGCGGCCCTCAATAAACTCATTGGAAGTGAGTAAATGTATACTGTTCAAGACTTGAAACCCACAGTAATATATAATGACCCTTGAATCCTCCTTCAATGACAACCTTGTTTTGTACCCATTTCAACTTCACGATATTCGCTGACCGATCTCTAGAGTCCTGGATGTAGTGTTCATTCACGCGTTCAGCGTGGGGGGTACATGTGAGCGTGGGAAATCAGCCACCAAACGACGGCGACTGGTACTGGTATTTCTTACCACTGGGTTCGGAATTTTGGGAAGAAGTTGGCTCAGTTATCATTGCAACGTGTTATTAGGTTTAGTGAGGAAATAACAGTGGTAACTCTACTTGAGTTTCTCTGTATACTGATATTAAGGGTCACATAACAGAGAAAGCCCTTGTCTCGGATAATGACGGCAACAAATTCCTTGTAGTGCACGGATTAAAATCCATGACTGATTTATAAACTTATCAGTTATATACTCAAATTAAGACGAAGTAGCCTTTGAAGCTCGGTGATGTGCCTCGAATTCAACCCTTTCTAAAAGTTTTCCTTGGTTTCGAGTATGGTCTCGATTTCTGAGAGATCGAAGAGTTAAGTACAATAGTACACTTAGCTTGAAAAACTCAAGTATGAATCGACATTAAGAAGAACTCTAGGAAGAAAATCAACAAAAAACGCTAATCATTTCCTTCGCAAATGAAAAACTCTGCGGCGCACTCATAAAAGCGTAGAGAAAAAAAANAAAAAAAATCAAATCTCATCTTCAGTTTTATATGCTAATAATATGTCCATAATTTCCCTTTGTTCAGCGCTTTCTAGGACAGGCGTTGCTTTGCATTTATCATGAAGGTACTCCATGAAAAACGTGCGGCACTATGTGAATCGAATATCGAAGCACTTAAGGCAAGTCCGAGTGGGAGAGCCATTAAAATTCATAAAAAACAATATTTTCTGTTTTGAGCACATTTTTGAGTCCATCTTAAGACGGGACTTTAAAGCTCTTTGAATCCGTTGAAAATGTTTGTGAGGATCGACAATCTCGAAATATTTGTTATACAATTGAACATGAGCATCCAACTATGATGTACTGCATACTGTAATCGGTGAAGCATCCTGTCCTTAAAATGCAGTATGCAGTACACCATGAATCTATCAGAAACGAACCTCATTACAGTTTCTACTCTTTGTTGGCAAAGAGAGGTGCATCGTTTGTTTTGACGGCTGGATGGTGGGAAATTAAAAATGTAAACTCAGTTGTTGTTTTGCAGAATTACTATCTCCAGGTTGCATGTAAACAGTTGGGCTATAACCACAGTAAAAACTGGGTCTAGGATGTGGTGGGTTATGGGTTTATGCAAGAAGTTTGAGAACGTTGCGCTCACCGCGGATGAACCTCCGCCCGCTCCGTTGACCTATTCCTATCCGTTGTACTTTAATTTCTGGACATCCGCTAACCAAACTATAAAGTTTTTTTCATAGGACTGCCCACTTTTGGGCCTATTTCGGCCCATGAAAGCGTGATTCCTATGAGCTCATATGTGCTGTTGGTCTTGCCCGAGACTCCACCCATCCCAAATTTGACTCAACCTCTCCAGGTGCTCCTTCGGGTAATTCCAAATTCCAGAACAGATAGACGGGCAGACAAAACCGACTCCTTTCTACATTGAGTGATGATGATGGTCTCATACGTAGCAATTAATAATGAGGACCTCATATGACGGACGATTTTGGAACGTCACGAACGTCCTCGGCCAGAGTTGTGAATTTTCGATCTTGGCTCCGCCCACCCATGTGCAAACCCCTTTCAACCAGTGGATTTTGCAGGACTTTTTTTTNTTTTTTTTGCATTCTAGAACGCTTTTAAACAGAGTTATGAATTTTCAACTCTAGCCTCGTCCGAGGATTCGACCACATCCCTCCTTCAGCTATGACTGATTTTTTTTCGCTTTCTAAAACGTTCTTGATCAGAGTTATATATATTCATTTATTTATTTGAAAGTACCTTTTATTTGAGTTCACGCCCCGCCCATCGTGGGTAGGGCTTAGCTAGGTTTACGCATGCCGAGCACGTATAAGCCCTTGCTCACTACCTATATTTTTTCCGGCCCACATGCCTTTAATGGATCGAGTTAGGAATTAATGTAGAAAGTGCCAAGAGGTCAGCGAGTTGTGTAGAAAACTTCGGCCTCGCGCTGGATTCAAACCCATACTTGTGCCATCTGGGCACAGTTAACTTTCTACTTGATGTTTTCTCAACAGCAGCCAAAAAAACGCCAAGCAGAAAGTTCAATTTCTTAGTTTGGTTTATACAGCCCAGACGCCGGGGAAAAAGAGGAGAGGAGAGGGATAGTTCAACAAATAAAATAAGGAGACATGCTCGCAATCGGGGGCGGGACATCCTCGAGGATGTCCCGCCCCCGATTGCGAGCATGTCTCCTTATTACTCCACAAAGTGCATTTCTAATGGCAATATACCATTAGAAATGCACTTTGTGGAGTGCGACACTCGCGTTCAGGGGCGGGTGTCGCACTCCACAAAGTCCCGTCCTGAATTCGGACCCCACCGCTGAAATCGGCAGTTCCACGCCCACAACCTACTGGAACAATTGGTACCACGTTCCACTTCCTCAGTGCGGGGCAAAGTTATGGAAACAAAATTAATGCGGCACAAAAACTTAATTTTAGACGAGACAGAAAAACATTTACTGCTGATTTATTCTCTAGAAAGCTGAACCAGGAAACACTCACTTCTCTCTAAGCAATCTCCATTTTCTTTGGCGCAGGATCGAAGATGCTACGGAAATGTATTGGCTGTTGCGAGGAGGTGTCTCTTCGTCCAACTTATCTCATGCTTTCTGATAGCCTTCAAGTAATTGAGCTCACGATGTAGTTTCGAGTACACTCTAGACTCTAGGATATTCCATGCAGAGAATCAAGCAGATCGAAAACCGGCGAGTTGGAAGGCTATTCATCAATACGATGAACCGAATAACCGAATAATAATAATTTCCGAAAGTGATTTCAACGCTAGACTGGCATCAATCTGACAATTTTCCTTCATACTTATCTCGGGTCACTCTGACCCGTCCTGAACCCACATAAAGGCGAAAATGTGGTGGCAGATTTCTCAACTATGAAAACTCCCTCTCATATAATCAGCTCATCTGGTCTATCGGCTTTGACTGTCGGTTAGCCTTTAGACGAAATCCTCACTTCTGTTGCATCCTCCTACTTCAGTCTTATCAGTGCGATGAAATCCGTTCTAGCAGTACTATATGAATCATCCTTTGGACTCAAAATATTGCACAAAGTACTAGCGCCCCAGTATAATTGCGCTTACGGAGAGCTAGGTTTATCCTTTGTCCTTGCGAGGACACTTGTAAAGATATTGTTAACATGAGCTCATACAAACAAATCATCGGTCTTGGAAACAACTAATTATTTTTACTCTTTTCGGGCCCTAATGAACGGTGGCGAGCAAAGTTTCTTCTAGACTTCCAGTTAGGGCTTTCTTCCGATGTGTTTCAAAATGCGGACTACGCTCTCCAGTACGAACCACATACGCAGCTTCATTAGATCGCGATTGAGTGGATTATATACCATTTGCACTGAGGGATGAAATCAAGAACATTTTCTCGTCATGATATTCTTCCATTTGTAAGCAGGTGTTCCAAATAGTTCTGATTGTACTTTCAAAATATTTTTCGGTCCTCAGGAGCATCTTCTCAATTATATCGTTTATGAAGGTGTTCTGATTGATTTGATATTTTTCTTGTCAAAATAAGCACTGTTGGTCTAACAGCACAGATTTCTGCTGAAACCATAATGGAAAAAGGGAAATGGCCAAGGGAAGGGCCCCTACCCTTTTCAAAGGCTTCGCCACCCTGAGACCTGAACATTAGGGACTGTCCTGACCGAATGCCAGAGCAAACGCACCACGGCGATTAGCTCATATTGAATGATAGGAATCATTCGCGATTCATTTCAGATTATCAATAACGATCGAAGAGCGTTCGAGCAGGAAATGCTTTCTCAAAAGCGAGTGACTGAGGTCATCACGGATAAGCACAATGAAGGAAGGGATCCCCAGAGTGTTCCGATTCCGAAATCAATTCCGAATAATGAGCCTGAAAAGGGTGAGTATTTTGTGCATTTCATTTTAAGTGAATTCAAGTCTCTTCAGATTTCTCGCATGTGTGTGAAGTTTCCTTTTAAACCCTTATCTCTCTCAGAATTTGAGCATTGGTGCTTCCATTGTGTGTCGCCCCTCAAGCATATGTCCAGTGATATGAGGAAAACGATTCGTCAGTTCTTGCGTTTACGGAGAACTTCTTATCCTCAAGGTGGGTAGATCTGAACATAAATTCATTCCTGACTGATGGAACAAGGAAAATCCACTGATGAGTGATGATCAAGGACGAATACACCTGTTGGGCTATTTGGAAAATAGTGGCAAAATTGCATTTCTCGTATTTTACTTTAGGACTTTTTCGTTTTAGAAGTGGCGACCGATGAATGCACCAACGCGAAAAATTTTTCTCGACTACACAAGCAGACGTGTCGGCATCCTTACTGCACTACGATTTCCCTCGTCGACCACAATCAAGGTAATAGTGTTCGACGAGAAAACATGTCGGCACTGTTGTTATTTGACTCATGACTTCGAAGTAGCAACCATCTTACATTCAAAATCGTTCCTCATATGAAGTTATCATCATCAGTCATTACCTATGAAATCATCACTATTTACTATATATGAAGAATTCGTTTCCGATTGTCTATCTCTCCCTAAACTCCCCAATTTGAAAAAGTCGGGTCAACTTTGGGATGACTGGGACTACAGGCAAGATCGGCTTAACATACATATATGAGCTCAGAGGAACTCCGTTTACAAGGAATTGAATGTTGACCGGAATGGACGGCGCAGTGAGCAAAATTTCTTAATTCTGCTAACAAAAGCCCACACACTGAGAAAAGTAGGCAAAGAAACAAGAAGCCCAACTGTTGGGTCCACAAGTACCGATGGGGCCGGCGGTTTACTCACCTGTTCATCGCCTAAAGCCACGCCACATAACCTCGTCACTAATCGGCTAGAGATCTTCATAGAGAAAGAACCGTCAATGAAGAAGACCTGTAATCCTGTCTTCTCCTGTATAGGTCAAGTAATTTGAAATTCTGAATGAGATTCGCATGCTTCAATTCGTTCGCTGCTCATTTTCAAAGTGCGCTGCATCGAGTTTGGTCAAACCTTTATACTGTGGATAAATGTCTTCTTTGGAAGTTAGCATTGCGGCTCGAGATATCATACCCAGTTAGCGCCGTCGTTGCTCCCACACTGGATACAAAAACATAGTTATAGAGTTAGTTATAGATGTGCTACTTTATGTTTACAAATCTCGCTTCACATCTTCACAAAAATTACAGAGGCATTGTGAGTAAGATGTACAGGGTGTCCCAAAATTATTGGTGCCGATTCATGGCAATGTATTTGAAAGTTCTCAGTGCGGAAGACGATGGAATTTCTACGCACGATAGCCAATACCATTTGCTACAACATGCTACAATCATATTTCAAAATACCCCGCATTAGCGCCAATAGAGGCCCAAAGTTTGCTCTCGACCTGATCCCATGCGGCATGCGGTATCCTTCTCCATTTCTTCCTAGCCGTTCTTCAGTCTTGCTTTCTGGGACTCCAAAGTGGGACTGCCAACTCGACAGGTCCTCTTCTAGTCAGGGATCATACGGGGGAGTCAAGTGAGTCAAGCTCTGGAAAATAAGAATGCCATTACTTTCTACCGATGAAGTCGGGCAGCTGTCGTCGGCACCACTCGCGGGCAAGCTTGGCTCTGTGGGCCGGAGTACCGTCATGCTGGGAGGATTACGATATGTTTCAGGGAACGTAGTCGGATCAGGGTTTTATTACGTTCATCAGAGCGCTCTTTGAGCACTGGTCTCTGTGAATTTTCACTCCGGCACCGAAGAAGCCACGAGCGTCTCACCCTTGCCAGTGATTTCTTCAAATAACATCATCTTACTGTTCTTGTAGCAACCTTATTGTGAGATATTGCACGCTAGATGTTTTTTTCTGGAATGCGTACGTTTTGGTTGCTGAGGGTGATTTTATTTTGAAAAAAATTCAGTCAGAGAAATGACGAAGGGTTGCGTGCCAGCACTCAGGTGGGTCTGCGATTTTCTGCATTTTTTGGCCCTGCGGTGTCTGTTGAGATTGA